TATCAGACACACTAATTACACAATTTTTAGATCACGTGAAATGAATCCAAAATATAAATGTTTATTGACATTAAATTACATAATTCATTTACTTCTTGCTTTCTAAAAATAATTTATTGCATAGATAATAAACTTTAAATTATTATAGCATTAATACAAATATTAAAATATAATATGCACAATATATGTGTGTGTGTGGTGCATACTATTCTAAAAATAATAATATCATACATACTACTATTGTAATATTAAGAAAATTTCTCATGAGTCATGACTCACGAACACCCTCCTTGGTCGCCGGACAAAAATTACTAATCAATAATAACCGATTCATGAGGTTAAACAATGTAGAAGTTATTAAAAATGTATTGGTTGATGTCTTTGTCATCGTCTAATTTAAACTTAGAATGTACAACTTAATAGATTTAAATGTCGTTGGGGATGTGTATGTATTAATGTCATTTTTTGAATAAAATTAGCCGCACAGCCCTACAGTAGCGGAAAAAATTCGCCCCGCTACACTACTAGGGGAAAATTTCGCTCCACTACACTAACGAAAATTTTTTCACCCCCTACACTACCGAAAAATTTTGCCCCCTTGAATAGAAATCTTTGATCCGTCCCTGATTAGCCACATTCCTTTATATATTGCCACCATGTTACTCGTTCATAATTCTTTCCAATGAATGGTGGCTTCTTTTTGCCATGAGGTCATTTTATCTTATTGTTCTATGATCATGGTAATTTGAGTAAATGTTACGTAGTAGCAATTTCATTATATTTTATGAGTGATAGGTGAATCGATCTAGTGGGGTCTTGATTTCCACCTTAACATGATTCCTGTAAATAGTGATGATCAAAACACGTGTTTACATTATATCCAAAATGGTATGACTTTCCATGTCACGTATTTAGAGCCCGTTTGGAGAACTCTGTTTTCGGCTTATCAGGCTTATCAGCCAGCTTTTTCACCAAACACGTAACTTTTACTTTCGCGCGCTGAATTGTGTAATAAGCCGAAAAAGTAAGGTTGGAGTTACTTTTCTGACTGTATTGGCTGAAGTTACTGTAGAGGACCATTTTAGCTATTTTCACATATAATTTTTTCTTTAATTTATTAATAAAATATATTTTTAAAATATTTTTTTCTTAAATCAGCAGAATCAGCCAAAACAGCCACTCCAGCCAGAATATCATAAATTTCAGCAGAATCAGCCAAAACAGCCGATTTTGGTGCTACCAAACGACCTCTAGACCGATCATCAATGTTTAGGATTTTCTAAATGGACCATAATTTTCTGATTTGGTTCGATTTAATATGTTTAAATTTGATACGATAAATGTATGTTTTATGTGTATTTTGCAATTCGGGACTAAAACTTGTCCAATTAAAACAATCTTTACTGAGTGTGTCGTGTGCAATTTCTTTCCTTTCATATAGAGTATTGAATTATTGGTGTGTGATTGAAGCTAAATAGTGTTTCCTCAATTTCCTCGGTTAGAGGCTAGGAAAGATCACGCGTTGGACTTTATAAATTAAGAAATAAAAGTGTGTAATGTTGAACTTGTTTTTGGACTTGAATTTGGACATTTGGGGTTGAGCTTTGCGTCTGGGATATTACTTTGAATTCCTTTTAATGATAAGTTTTATGATTTTGTCTTCGACTTAATGCATGTTGAAATGAATGGGGTTAAGTTGCCCCTGCTTAATAATGTTTCACATTATTAATGTTCCCATGCATACATAAAGAACTCCACTGAGCCACCACATAAAGTAAAACTTGTTTTTTTCACAACTTAAACAAAAGTTATATTTGAAGGCACTATAAATAATTTAAGCGTATATATTGCTTTTGAATGTTTTTCGCGTGTTGTATTACAATTTTTGTGGGTGCGCCTCACCTATATTATCAACTTCGTGAGAATATTGTTCTATAATAACAATCTTTTTAAATTAAGTAAATGTCATAACTTGTTTAGATTTATATTTTAGCTCACACATGCAGGGGCGGAGCCAAGGGGGGGTCAAGGGGGTCAGCCGACCCCGCTGAAAGTTTGAGAGTATAGAGCTCCGAATTACCTTCGATTTGATATATTATGACCCCCGTAACTCATTACGAGTAAAAAGTTATGACTTCTGGAAAATCAGCACTATGTAAACGTAAAATCAGCAAAATTTGATGCATAATATTGATTATTTTCCCAAACTTTATGAATAACATATAATTAATTCATTAGTTACGTAACATGATTCAGAAACAGAGCAAAGACAATATATCTTATTGCTTACGAATGGTTATTTATCTAAACTACAAATGAAACATTCAATTCGAACATTGTCTAAAAACGATGTACCATTTTCATTTTGTACATAGTTGATTTTCGACCCCCCTGACCCGTTTTTCTGGCTCCGCCACTGCACACATGCACATATTATTAGGCGTGTTTGACATTTACCGGTTATCGGTTAGTAGATAACAGATTACATTAGCGCGTAGTCAATACCGGATTCATCAAGAGGGTTTAATTAACAGAATAAGCTAAGTCGGCAGGTTGCTAAAAGATGTTTGGTAATTTAACTGTTTGGTTATAATAATTAATAGAAAACGTCATTTTTCAAAACGCTAACCCAAAACTCTCATTTTTGTACCATTTTTATTTCAATGGTTCCGTCAAAAAATACTAGGTCCGACCAACTATTTTCCAAACAACGTTTCACTAAAAATGATTTTACCGAAACGCGATTTTTCAAACACCTAGTAAACTAATGATACGGAATACTATCTATATGACATTAGTTAATTATTTAAGTTCATCATTAAATACGAAGGGGTAGTGCAACTTCGTAATGTAATTAAAAGCATTAAATTACTTAAATTTAGGTTTATGTATTGAATTGATGAACTTTTTTTGAAGCAAATTGAATTAATGAACTTGAAACCGTATATTCGAATAATTGGGTGATGGGACCACTTGAAATTATATTTTGCTTTTGAATGATTTGTTGACTGGGACCGTTGGAAATCAGGTTTACGTATATTAAGGGTCTATTTGGGAGTGGCTACAACAAGCTGAAATTTCTGATTTGGCTTAAATGACTGAAAGTTTTGAAGTGAAAGTGTTTGGTATTATTTTGGCTGAAGTGACTGATGATTGAATGTGTAATTACCATAAAGGGTATTAATATTATTGCACCATTAAATAATGTGTCTAAGTGTTTCAATTAGGCATGGCCTCGGTTCGGGCCGCCCGGCCCGGGACCGGCCCGACCCGCTACTGTGCGGGCCCGGCCCGGTTTTCCGGGTCCGGGTCCGGTTCGGGCCGGAGGCCCGGAGGTGGGGCGGTTCCGGGCTCGGTTCATGGGTTTGACGGCCCGGCCCGGCCCGGCCGGTTCGGGCCCGGGTCCGGGCTAAATCTATTTTTTTTAACGTTTTCATTTTTTTTGGGCTGTTGGGCTTGGGCTATCTGTTTAGGCCGGTTTGGGGGGGTTTGGGGGGTGGGGGGTGGGGGGGGGGGGGAAGAAAGAAAAAAAAAATTAAACCGGGTGGCCCGACCGGCCCGGAACCGGACCCGGGACCGCCCTACCCCGGTTCGGGCTCGGGCCTGCTATTACTGAACCGAGGCCCGGTCGGGCCTAGGCCCAAGGCCCGAACCGGCCCGGTTCAGTCCACCACTAGACTTTCAATTACCAACTAAATACACAAATGTTGAAGGGGGTGGATACTATAATACGGAGTACTGTATATAATACTCGTAGTTGTTGAAAGGCAGTGGCTTGAATCTAATATGCAGTACGAAGTGCACCCAGAAAATGATTTAGCCGTGGTTACAACCTTCCAAGGGTGAGTGTTTTTGTTAAAAACATGGATAAAAATGTCTTTTAATAGCTTAATAGTAGAAAAATAATTTTTAGCTGAAAAAGTAGCAATATACTTACTTTTTGAGCTGATCAGAAAAAACAGCCAGATCAGCCCATTGCATTAGTGTTTGGTTATTTTTATAGATTTTAAGGCTTATAAGCCAATTTCTAGTCCTCCAAACGGGCACTAAGTTATTATTGACATTTAAATGATTTGATGGATCACTAGAAAATAGAAATCATAAATTTGAGAAAATGTGAATTCCTCTTTAGCGAATTATGTTAGCGAATTATTTAGCGGGTTGGATTCAGTCAACGAGTTTGACTAACGAAATAAATTGACAGATTGTCAGAAGGTGTTTGGTTATTTAGCCATTTGCAGCGTTTCCATTTCAGTGTTTCCGTCCAAAATGCTAGTGCCGAACAATTATTTAGCTAAAAGTGATCAAACCGTCATTTTCCGGCTGAAACGTCATTTACCAAACACCCCTTATGTCATATTTCTCCTTTTAGTAACAAACTTGATGATACTTGTAAGGTTGTAAATATATGCACAACATCATTCATACAACTTCATTTTTCTTAATTAGCACATCATCTCTTCTTATATCGAACTTAGGAGGGCAGATGGAGTACAAACTAAAGATGTTTTTAATTGGAATGAAATTCTTTGATTTGGTCTGGTCTGATCTTAAAAATGTGTGATTTTTATGTATTTTATAACAGTTCAAGTCTTGTTTGGTTTGATTTAATCTAATGTGATCTGGTCTGATACTTGAAACAATCCAAAAGCAAGGATCCATAATGTAAAAACATTACCCAAATAGGGTATATAAAATGAGAATAGAATATAGATACGATATTTTTTTGGATGTACCATAAAGGCCTTGTTTGGTAAATGGCCGTTAGCGGTTGCTGTTAGCTGGTTGTGTCAGCTGTTTCCTAACAGCTGGTTGTGTTACCTGTTTTGACTGGCTGATTATGTTAACTGATTATAAATAACTGTTTGGTAAAATTGGCTGTTTCGAAATGGCTGATAAAGTGTAAATTGAACCAGCCGAATGAAGAAGCTGCTCCCCTTAGCTTCTTCAACCATCCATTCTTTCAGCTTTTCAAACTCAACAAGCTAATTTTATAAGTCATTTAGCAAACATTATTATTAACTTTTTTAACTAATCAAACAGCTAAAATGAGTCAAACAAGTTAAAAGCTGGCTGATAAGCCATTTGACAAACATACCAAAGTAATGAATGCATAAAGGTCTAATTTCTGGCGTCATAACTGAAAAAATAAAATAAAAAAGACAGTGCATTATAATTTTCATTGATGAAAACGCAACAGAGAAGGGCCACAAGAGTAGGGGCATATCTCCATACCCACGTTTCCCTCGTTCAATTATATTCGGCTATTCCTCCCAAAACTGCCCAATCATCCATCTCTCACAATCCAAAACCGGTTTTCTTTTTCTTCTCTTCTCTTTTCTTTCTTTCGTTTTTGAACATGAAAATGCTAGGAATCCAGGAAACGGAAACTTCTCCCCATGAAAAGAAAATGATGATCAACGCGAAAGATCGCACCTTTATGCTACTCCACTCCCCACAGATCATTGGATTCAGACTGAGGACGCCGAGGTTGCTTGTTAAGGTTGTCAATGGCAGAAAGCGGCGGCGGCGCAGCCGCCACGGTTCCAATGATGCGGCGGAGAGGAAGAAATCATGGTCGGAATCCGGTGGGAATCTTCTTGTGCCTGTGAAGACTGGGTCGGTTTTCTGCAGCACGTTTTTCAGCAGAAACCAGGCGGCAGATGAAGAAAAACTGGGAAAGTCAAAGTCAATCAAGAACATCTTGGGGTTCAAAGGAGAAAACAGAACAAAAGCAGATATTCAATGCAGAGAGAGTTTAGAAAAGTCAAATAAGTCAACCCATTACTTGTTCCTCTCAAGAACAGGGAAGAATGGTGGTGGGTCATCAGCAAAAGAACCCATCTTCTGCTTCAGATTCTCTGGGCTGCTCAGATGGAAGAAGAGGCTAAGGTTTAGCTTCAGGAAGTGGAGGATTACTGGAGGAATTGGAACAAGTTGTATGGGTATGGCAGGATTGGCAGCCCAAAGAAGAAACAGAGGCTATTACACACAGATTCAGAGCATCAGAAGTCCAGAGGAGGCAGATGAAGAAGAAGAAAAGGAAGAAGGGATTGAACTTTGCAAGAAGAGAATCCTTATGGGAGACAGGTGTAAGCCCCTCAGCATCTCTGGAAGGCTTAACTATGATCAAAATGGCGTTTTGTTGCCAGAATTGCTTCCATATGATTGACAAACCAGAGTAGTTTTCTTTTCCAGAATTGCACAAACATTAAATTCTTCAGATGATCTCCCATCATCAAAGCTGCAGATACAGTAGCATGTGTTGGTTTTGGTAATGTCATTGTGGATATTTTTTTCATGAAATGGCCAAACAAACTTCCAATGACTTTCAATTCCGGAGTGATCCAAACTAGTGATAAAAGATTAGAGATTTTTTTGTTAGGATGTTTTTAAAGTGTTTTCGGTCCCAGACTAGACTGGACCAGACATTTTACCAGACCAGTTCAGATCAGACCAGACCAGAAAATTTCAGTCCAAGTAAAAACATCCTCAGTGCGTTCAAAACCGGTTGAACAACCCCGATTTATTTCGGCTGAGCCATTTTCTAGTTACCCCACACCGTTTTCCTCCATACGGGTCTCAATTGGTTCGACTATATACAGGGCCGGTCCTGACATTTTATGGGCCCGGGGCAGTACAAGTAGATTAGGCCTCAGGGATAGCGCGAGAATGTTTATAATGTTCTTTTTGCTATAAAAATCTAATTTAAAATTATACAATTTTACCGTCCAAATAACAAAGCATCATAAAAAAACTAACAAAGCAGATGGTTAGACAAATTACATAGAGGGTATTTGATAAGTCACATTCCAGGATACAATGTACCCAAAGCAGCCGAATGAAACAAGTAGTGCAACTATTACGTGCAATTAAAAAAATTTAATTAAGAAAAGTTGTGAAAGTTATATCTCATATAAGGAGTAACTTTTTGGGTTTTTTTCAAAAAAAAAATACTAAAATAAAACTCACTTACACAAATATGACAAATTGTTACTACAATGTATTCTTACAGTAACTCAGGTTTAAAAATTGAACATAAGCTACTATGATTTCATTACTACTTAAGTCACTAGTTACATTTTTGTAAATAATCTTAATTTTAGTCACATATATATAATTATTTCTATTTTTTTCAAATTTTAAGTCACATTTTCACTAGACAAAAACAAATTCTAAGTTTCTAAATTATGGACATTGTAGTTCAATCTTTCATTAAATGAGAGAATCAGAGAAACTTTGTGAAATACATCAATGAATTCGGGATGTACATAAGAGAAGTACACCAAATTAAAAGATAAAAATTAATGTAATAACCCGTAATGATCCAAGAAAAAAATGGTGAAATATGTTCCCAATAAATTCTAACGTGGATGTTTCAAAATTAGACTTGTACCGTGTAGATACTGAATAACGAATTGAGAATATCTAAAAAAAATATTAGTATGATTTTAATTTTTAATTTTTATAGACTTAGGATGTATATATAATTAAAATATCGATGTACACAAACATGTATATATATTTGAGAAATTTATGGGCCCTAATGGAGCAAAGGGCCCTGGGCGCATGCCCCTCTTGCCCATGCCCCAGGACCGGCCCTGACTATATATACTTTGTCATGGGGAGGATCCACGTATGGGCTAAATGAAACTCTTCCTTGTGTAAATTAGCGGAGTGAATTATATTGAAGCTAAATATTCTTTCTCGAGAGTTTCCGACGTTCCGTGCTTCATAGTTAAATGCCTACGATGGATAATAAGTTTGGTTGGTCAATTGGTAGCCTTATGATTGTTTCATACTCTCTTTGTCCCAATTTTTAGGAAAGCACTTTTAAAGAGCACAACATGATTTTTCTATCCAGATATACAAGCTCATCATCCAATGCATTTTTTGAATTCAAGACATAAAATCATTTAATACGTTGAAAAGTGAACACAAGCAAATTTGAGTGATTTGTACAAAATATGCATTCAATTCTTAAAACATCGATTATTTTGATTGAACGTAGAAGAATTGCTAATATGGCAAATAATTTGAGGGAGGGAGCATAAGTACGCTTTCTGACTCATATGTCCATTGAGAAAGACATTATGAACATAATCATGGAGCACACGAAAGTGAAAATAGCAAGTGTTGTCAATTAGTTGTTGGGTTGACTATAATAATGAATGTCGATCTAAAAAAGATTTACGAAACAAAAACATTTTTTTTATGATTAAGAAACAAAAGCATTAGTGAGTCTTTAGTATTGTTACGTTCTCTTCGAATTTGTTTGAGTAGGTGCATTGTCGGAGCCAGAAATGTTATGTTAGAAATATTGAAGTTTGAAACTCTATATTGTGGATCAAAAGTCAAAACTTAAAACTTTGGAAGTCAAAACTTAAAACATGAGCCTAAGATAGTAAATTTTTATAATACATAAGTGATAAAAGGATAAAATAAAAGCATATTCTAATTAACAAACTACAATGCTGAATTCTTATATCGTATACTTGTGAAGGAATTAAGTGTTATATTAAGATTTAATCCTCTTATCAAATTGATCCTTTAGGATGGAACCCCAATACTTCATACAAACTCCTCTTATTCATCCGATGAGTTGATCTAAGGCTATTGATGTATGTGCCATTTTGATAATAAAATCAAACTTTTTTTATTGTGGCACTTTGAGCGTTGATATGAACTAGGTGTTTTATTGCAAAATAATATTTAATACAAATAAAGTAAAGATGAATTGTAGTAGAGTTTGTACATACCCATAGATAGACCCAACTTCATCACCTAGTTTTGTGGTATACACTTTAAATTGGAAAGAACCTTTTCTCATGCAAGGACTTTCCAAATACAAAAGATAGTGGTGGCTCGAAGACGTGTAGTCATATATCAGTCCTGTTTCTCTTAGCCGCCATACTCACTTGGGTCAGTTGTGTGTATACCAAAGGCTTTTGGTCATTCAACTCACTTGAGTCTAATTGTATTTTGCCACCTTTTCCCAAGACTAGATAATCACTTTAAAAGTCTTATTTATGTAGTTCATAGAAAAAATTACTTTTAAAATTGGGAAAATAACTTTAAATAATACAAACTATCTTCCGTGAACCAAGAATAATACGTACTTTAAAAATAAGTTTTAATAATACCAACTATATAAATATAGACCAAAAGTGATATAGAGCATTTTTTACTAAAAATTCAACCATTTAACTCATCAAAAACTTGTATGAAAATATCTAATTTGTGAATATATTTCCAAATATCATTTATTTGATGGGTTGTCATTAGCTTTTGATGTCTTAAGTGATCGGATTTTTGTCAAAAAATGACTCCATATCATTTTTGTTTGACATTCAAATAGTTGGTATTATTAAAAGTCATTTTCGAAGTTTGTATTATAGTTGGTTCATGAATGATAGTTTGTATTATTTAAAGTTATTTTTCCTTCAAAATTAAAACTTTTTATTATGTAGTTCTATAAAACCTACAAAACTTATTCTCGTATTCCCAAATTTGTAAATATCATTCCTCAATTGTTCAAATTACTATAAATGTGGATATTTGAGAGGTGAATGTACAATGTGAGCAATGACAACATTTACATCAATTCGGATAATTGAAATCTTACATTATTTCACACTTGGGAACCCGAGGATTAATTTCAATATCGTTATTCCAAAAGAGTCCACTACAGCAGTACCATCATCTGAAACTTCTTTTGAACAAGGTATCTCTCAACCCCATTCTACTATTCAATACAAAAGGAAGAGGCAACCTGCTCCGCGTTTAACCTGGGTGTTCAAACGTTTTATATGTGTAAACCAGAGCTGGTTTAAATATGTTTAACATAAAACATTACATAAAGGTATGGGGATCAACCTATATTATTTGATGGACTAAAAATGTTATTTTTTCTATTTTTGAAAAGGAAATTACTTGATTAATCCTCCGTATTAATCATTCACGCTTGTTGGCATGCAGCATACCATCATCATAAGGATCA